ACCTGCCACAGAGGAAGAACCAAACACAATGGGAAGGGAGTCAGGCTAGCATTCGATGTGGAGAGGAAGACTGTTTATGCTCAATCCTATGTAAAGTTAAGTAAAAGATACAGAGCAAAGTACAACACCGACAATAGAAAAGTAGAATAATGGTCACCAGAGGCAGGGGGAAGGCGAGGAGGAGAAGCAGTGGACTGCTGGGTGCAAAACTATGCTCTCTACCCTAAGTGAATCATTGTGCCGTATATGCATGTATTGAAACAACATACTCCACAAATATGTACAAGTAAATGCTAAAATATTTTTTTAAAAAAGTCCCCCATCAGGCACTACTTGATCAGAGACCATTTTTCAGAGCTAATTACCCTGGCTTTTTCTCACTTTTGCTAAAATAAATATTTTTGCTGTTTCAGTAATTTATGAGATTCTCTTCTATATTCAGAAAATAGGATCTGACTAAGAGAGAGATCTATGCATTGTTACAGTTGTGTGCAATGGCAGACGGATTCTGCACAAAGAGACATTCTAGGGTGCCATGTTTATCCTGTTTTAACAACCACTATGTCAAAGGAGACAACTTTTCATGGGAAAATGAATTTTGCAAATCCCGGCATAACAAACTCCTTTCCAGTTGGTGTGTGACTTTCTGTCTCTTCCATCCTCACCATCACATCAATTGTTTGGCTTCTGCAGTTAAGACTTGGTTGGCAGTGGGAGGCTGAGACACACAAGGGCATCCCTGTCACCTGGGCATGCCGGCATGGGCACAGAGTGGCCCTGGCACAGCATGTTCCCAATGGGAGTGTAAGAATACACGCTGGAAATCGATTCTTTGAATTTTTGAAATGTGCCAATTTAAGTTACTTTTCTGACCAGAAATGTGTTTTTAAAAGAGAAGAACATGTATTGATAAGGAAAAAACCCCTCAAATTTGAGTCATCTTTTTCTGATACACTGTTTGACATCAGCAATTTAATAGAACATGGAGAATGTACAGGTTAAAAGCAGAATTCTGAGGAACAGAAACTATCTACATGTGCAAATAAAAAGCATTCATTCTGGAACCATTTGCTTGAG